TCAGTGAAACATGTGTCTCCTTTCTCATTTATGCCGTTGTAGAGAGGAGCGGGTTTGCGCTGGGAGGCGCCTACTTCAAACCTTCAAATGGAGAAGGAGGGGATGGGAGGTTTGCTCATCTCAAAATTAATAGAACAGCTGCAAGATAAAATATAGAGGGATCTTCACACACCTATCCCTTACAAATACCCCACAGTGCAATCTCTGCACACCAGCTGACAGTGCTGCTGGCAGGTAGGCTATGTCATGCCACACTTGTGTGTGGTCCCCACACCTGCCTCAGCCTAGCCATTAATTTGGGTCTTCTCTTCTCCAGAAAGGTATGGTAAACAGATTATCCTCAAATCTTCATGCCCACTTTCATGTTTGATTGAAATTTATCCATTCGGAAGTTATTGCTGGTAGAAAGACAACTGCATGAGCCTTGATCCCCTTGAAAAAATCACAGCTGCTTTGCAGCAGAGGCACAGGTGAGGTGTTGCTGAGCACCTGACAGAAGAGAAAAGGGAGATAAGGAGACAAATTCCCCGTGTGAGGCCAGCCCACCAGTGTCAAATCCCGATTTCTCCTCTACATCCTGTTGGTACCAAGTACACAGACCCATAATCCCAGCTGTGGCCACCACTGCTGACTTAATCTTAAGCAGGGGTACCTGCTCTGAACTGTTCTGCTCCATCCCTTGTATCTCATCAAACTTGTTCAGCATCCTGTGGTTTGGCCAGGTGACTCTGTACTGTAAGGCTGCAGCTATATGAGCTGCGTGGTTTTCCTCTTACAAAGACAGTGGCGAGGTGCTCCTGCTATAGGAAGGCAGAGTCCTCACCTGAATTCTTGACTATGGTCCTTCTTCCTTGGACTGTCTTTATCTCAATACCTTTCAGCATCTCCAAAGTGCAGGTCTCCAGTGTGGAAGAAGACATCATGCTCACCTCTTTCACCTTTAAGGCTTAAATTCTACCACTCTGCCAAACTAACACACATTTTCCCATGTACTAGATGATCAAAAGCTGAAATGTGGTGATTTCTCTATTCTAGCTGAGAGCCAAAACCACATCCTTTTGCTCAGATGCTTCATTAAAACAAAGACAATTAAATTAGCTGCCCTGCAGATCAAATGAAGGCCTGGAAAATGTAAAAAGGATTAAAGAGAAAAAAAAACAAACAAAAAACCCAACATAATTATTGATACTTAATTAAAACTTTTGAAAGCACCAGTCATTGTCCACATTCCTGCAAAAGCTAATGCTGAGATGAATTTTTCTTACAGTTCCCCATTGATCCGTGAAGTGCAAAAAGGGAGTCAGAACTGCAAACGAAATACAGTGGGTGCAGGGCTGGATGCTGACTGCATTTACAAGAGTGTGATTCCCACAGAACCCCTTGCAGACCCTCACTAGCATTAATCCAGGAAGCCATGGTGGCAATTGCTGGATTGTGCTGTGGGGCCAAAGGTCTGCCCTGAAGGACAGAATCAAAAAGTGGTGCTGAAGAAGCCCACCTCATGCACAAAATGTTACGAAAATCAAACTTCAGGTACCATGAGCTTTGCTTCTTCAATAAAAAATTAGGATATAATTTGATTTATGGCTAGTCAAAGGTGGATGGCTTTCCTTCTTAATTTTAATCAGTAGTTGCACACTGTTGCACACTGTTTCCAAAGCCTCTTAGTAACCCAGCCCAACATCAAGAAAATGAACAGGCTCTGCAAATTGCCTTGCAGAAAAGAGAGCAGACTTGGTATCTCATGACTTGCAATACAAATTCCCTACTCACACAAAAACAAACACGAGAGTTCATCTTGCGTGCAAGTCTTTTAAGACTATTTAACCCAGCTTACTGCAGAAAGATCATGAAGCTTGATTTTGGCTGGGTCAGGGTTAGCTATTTGCTTAAAGCAAATGCCCTGTTTACCCTGGAATAATCAGCCAGCCCCTCCTTGCCCACTTCTTTTCCTCTCCCTGTTCAGGTTTTCTGCTCCCACAGCAACAGCCACGTAGTGGGAAATTTAGAGATTGGGAACTACCCCGTGTGTCCTGTGCTGGTGTGCAAGAGGTAGTCTACGTGTGCATTCCAGAGAAAGTAAGTGAAATTCTCATCTGTGACCATAAGGCAGTTTCAAGGAGAAGAGAATCTCACTCTTTTTCTGGGGTTGGATGTCAGACGAGACATCATGCTCCTCCATTCCTCTTGCAGATGGATCTGGAGCACGGAGCAGTGTCCCAGGAGATGACACCTGGTTGGAATGAGACATGGTAAAGGCACAACAGTCCCAGTCTCCAGTCACAGGTTCCTTCATGGCACAGAAATTCCCAAAGAAAAATAACAAGTATTTGCATATTGTGACCTTGGAAGAGTTTGCTCTCGTTTCTCAGTTATTTGGAGGGGAGAGTTGTCTTGGTGGGGCTTCTGGCGTTGTGTTGTGTCTTTGGGTTTTTTTATCTAATAGTACCTAACACTATTAATACTGCTGCTCATTAGTGAGCACTCTGTTACTTCCTTGGAGAAAAGAACTGGAGAAACTTCCTCAACAGAATCATTAAAGTCATTAGAAAAATGAAAAATTGATTTGTAAGAACTGTAAATGAGCAATTTTATGGGAAGAAGGCAGGAAAGATGTGCCCTCTGCAGACACATGCTGCCTTCTTCAAGTCACTGGCTGGCTTTACAAACCCTATGAAGAGTGAAACAGTGCTCTTCAGGTCCAAGAGGAGGTCCTGAGCTCCCCAGGACAAAGTCTGCCGCAGCATAGATGCCACCACAGCATGGCAGCGGAAGGCAGCTCAAGCCAGGTTTGCATCAGACCATGAGCGTGGGTGCTCTGACAGCCAGAACACGTTCCCCTCCGCCCCGAGATACCAACCGTCAGACACCCAAGGGCTCCATCAAAGCTCGAAGAGGTCCATCAAAGCCACAACAAGGCAACATCCTAGGCAACAAAAGAGCGCGAGGCATTGCTAGTTTTGGCCGAGGTTGAAACAGGGACACTGGTCCTGGGGATCTGTCCCATCTCCACTGCGGACAACTCTGCTCTGCGGGAGGTTTGCTCTTGCCTTTGGCACCTAGAACTCAGGTCAGACCTAACGCAGCAGCTCGGGATGCTCTTGTGGGTGCCTGGACCCGGCAAGCTCGGGCTCCGGGGTAATGCTTTACCTTCGGGTGCCATCTAGTGCCCACAGCTAAGGTGGCCTCGCAGCTCCGGCACCCACAGCCCTCCTCCCACCCGGCTCTCTGCATCTCACCACCCTCCGCCTTTGTTAGTCATCGTCCCCATCACACCAAAGCCTGACAAAGGACTGCTAGTGGCTGTTTTAAGCAAGGAAAGAATCTATGCTCTAGAAAGATCCCTTCAAGTCCCTCGCACTGGGCCCCTTTCAAATCAAAAGGCTGCAAGCTCACAGAGAAGCAAAGAGAGAAGAGGTGGAGGTCCTGCAGGAAGCCCTTTCTGGTGCATCCTGTGGCAGGGTGACAAGCAAGCTCTTGCAAGGAGATGTGCTTCAGTCTGGTGACGAGGGTCCCAACCACCCCCTTCTTGTATGTTAGAGGGCTCAACTATAGGTTTACAATGGCACTCCCCCCCCCGTAGTCTCTCAGTGAGGGAGGAACTGTAGAGCACAGTTCTTGAGGAGAAAGGGAGAGCTGAAGATGCTTGATTCATTCTCTACTTGTACCACAGTCGAAGGACAGACCACTGTGTGAGCTCAAAAAAATAAATGGGGAGAGGGGGAAGAGAAAAAATTATGTAGTCCCTCTGATCCTCTTTCAATGTTCGCCACAGGCTTTGGAATCCGATTCAGAAATTTTGTGCAAGTAGGACTGAAGATAAGTGTGACTCAATATGCTTGGCCTGTTTCTTCTTGGTGGAATGTTTCAACAGAGGGTTTACCTAATCCCTTCCTATAAGGAAACACCACAATTATTTTCCTCCAGCTTCTTATGCATCACACACAACGCTCCACATTAGGACTTCCCTAAAATGTCTTTGATCAGAAAGGAGCACGGTTCATTGCTGGGGCAAGTGAAAGGCAACCATCACCTTCCTGCTTGCCTGAAACAAACGCACACAAACAGAGTGAGGTCCACCACTCTCAGACCTTCAGTGAGACACCAGTTCATCTCCAGATCTCCTGAACCTGGCAACTGGTTACTTCAGGTGCATCACAAGGTCTAGTAACCAAGCCCTTTCCTCAGCCTTGCATGCTCTTCAGCATGGGCCAACACTGCCTGGAGAGGACCTCTCTGGAAACTAAGTACTGACCCTGAGGAATCCAACCCTAAAGCTCTGCAAGCCACAGAGAGCCAAACTACCCCTCTCCCTGTGTTTCTCTTGCTCTCTGGAGGGCACGTGCTGAAAACCTCACCTCCTCGGAGCCTAACATGGTGTAAACGTGCAGCATAGCGTTCTCCTCTGCCACTGAAACCAAAATCCTCTTCCTACTGGCTTTGCTCCACACAGCCCCTTCAGGTAGGTACCCCTAAAACTTCCTTGTCTCCTCCACCCAAATCCAACATCTCCATGTCAGGGGAAGCAAGATACTAGACCCATCTTGTCCATCAGGCTTCTCCCCACACAGACACACACAAACAAGTCGTAAACCACATCCCCAGGGCCCACTGCCTGTTTCTTAGGGATTAAATTTCCCCTTGAATCTTAAAAATCCCATGGCTCTTACTCTTCTCACCCCTACACCACTTCCCACTGCTGCATCCCACATATCTGCCCACACTTCTGCACAGCCCCTGAGGATCACAAAGCAAAAGTCCCTGCCTGATGGAAGACTGGTGCTGCTGTCACCAAGCCAGAGCTTCATGATTGGGCTTTGAGGTACGCAGTCATCAGCAGAAGACAAACTCCACATCACAGCTGCGATGATTCAGGGGCTTTTGGGGTGATTTTTTTTCTCTCCTCTCAGCCAATAAGAGCCGAAGAGCCACATCTTCCCCATCAGGAAGCAGGGAGGTCACTCCTCTCGCTGTTGGGCTCTTTTTCTGAAGCGGTGGAGATGGCAGTGAACTTCACCTACAGCTTCACTATGCTTTGCTGTTTAGCACTCTGGAGCTTCACCAGGACTTCAGGTGGTAAGAGTAGAAAATAATTTGGTTTTCCTTGTGCTTTAGGTCCTGTGAGCGCTGCTTTCTAATGCACTGGCAAGTAACAGCCCGTCCCCAACTGCTGCCCATGCTGGCTCAGCACTGCGGGGTTTAGACTGCAGCTGAAAACCCAACTGCTTAAAAGACTTTCTTCCCTTGTAGTGAACCATGTTATGCAGGGACATCATCCAAGAATTTTAAAAGTCAATTTATGCTTTTAACTTATTTCTCAGTGTTTAAACTCTGCATGACCTTGATTATTAAATCTAAAGACTGTGGGTAAAAATTTGACTGCTAAGTACAGATGGGCACTTGAGTGCCGATTAGCTGACTTTAATGAAACATTACTCCATACCGTTTCGCTCTTTGCTGAGCAAGGAAAGTCTCTTGATTGCAGCTGGCCTTAAATCTTTGGAATGGGAGCTGCAGACAGGAGTGTCTTCTCTCAGATGGTTTTCGTTCCTCTTCAGTTTTGCTTTGGCTCCCCTACACAGAAAGTATTGACGCACTCAGGGATGGTGTTTGGTAGCTTTTTATTTCGACTGTGGTTTCCTTTGGGGTCTGCAGATGCACACAGGAACTCTGCTGTGTCTTAAATGTAAAGATAAAGCCTAGCCTTGCTCTAGTAAGGGGGTGGAGGTTTTAAAAACACTTCATGATTTAAAAAAAAAAAAGTAACATATTACAATCTGCCTATTTGCTTCACTGCAGGGGCTGGGAGAGATCATCCACAGGATTGCTCTCTCATACTGCAAGAACAGGGGCCCCAAATTATTCCTCAATGAGGAAAGCATAAGAGAGAGCCTCTTAATGCAACATTCAACTCGTCTCTGCAAGAGCAGCCCTCTCTTGCTTAATAACGGGCAGTTAGTTGCCTGTCAACTCAGCAAGAAAAGAGTCTACCCTACTCCTGTCCAACAGAAGGAAGAGCCAGATTTTTCCCCTCTCTCTTTACATTTCCAAACACAGAAGCAAGGATAGGCTCTGAAATACAAATACTCTGGCCCTAAGCATCTCCCTGCAGAGCAGGAAGAGCTGTTTCCCCAGGTCATGAGATCGCATCTTCTAGGCTTCTGAGTGCTGTGCCTGGCCAAATCATGAAGTGCCTCTGCTCCCTAGGCCTGGATGACAAGTGTTTCACCCCTACTGGCATGCCTAGAGCCCTGCACAATGCCGTTCTGTATTGCTCCTGTAGTGAGGGCATCACCTTACACACAGTGAGCTTTTTAAGTTGCTGGCAGGACCAAGGAAGTGGTCATGTCCCTGTACTCAGCACTGGTGAGGCCCCACCTTCAGTACTGCATTCAGTTTTGGGCACCACAGTATAAGAAAGACGTGGAGGAGCTGGAGCAGGTCCTCCAGAGAAGGGCAACAAAGCTGGAGAAGGGTCTGGAGAGCATGTCTTATGGGGAGCAGCTGAGGGAACTTGGGTTGTTTAGCCTAGAGAAAATGAGGTTCAGGGGAGACATTATCACCCTCTACAACTACCTGAAAGGAAGTTCTGGTGAGGTGGGTATTGGTCTCTTCTCCCAAGTAACTGGTGACAGGACAAGAGGAAAGACTCTCAAGTTGCACCAGGAGAGCTTTAGACTGAATATTGGGGGAAAAAATTCTTTAGTGAAAAGAGTGGTGAAGTATTGGAAAGGCTGCCCAGGGAAGTGGTGGAGTCACCGTTCCTGGAGGTGTTCAAAAAATGTGTAGACGTGCCACTTCAGGATACAGTTTAGTGGTCAGGGTGGTGTAGGTTGATGGTTGGATTTGATGATCTTAGAGGTGTTTTCCAACCTTAATGATTCTATGATTCTGTGAAAGGTTGCAGTGAAGAAAATCAGAACTACAGGTGCCTCACGCCAGAGACTTTCTGAGTTTTGGAAATACAGTGGTACAAACTACTCCAAACAGCACAAGTGATTTCCGACCAGTGTGTGTGCACCATGCAGTGCCCACCTTGAATGAGAATCAAAGAACATAAAGAAAAACAAATCCTAGCCTTGAGGAATTTGGGTCACCAGAGGAAAATGAGGGTGTAAAGTTCTCCCCTAAGGACTCAGTAGATACTACACTCACTTTGCTCTGGTATGAGTCATTCTCAGCACCAAGTTGCAATGGATGAAAGATGTGAAATGCCTGGTAGCCCCTGGTGAAAGCTGGGGCAAAAATATGCTAGCCTACTGCCTGCCTACAACACACAGTCTATTACCTGGCTGCTGCTACTCGTCTGCAACACATGGTCCAGCCTGCTAGACTGTGAGCCCACCTTTCGAAATGTTGTATTTCAGAGGCCTTGCCACACGTGACACTGATGGATCTACAGGCACTGGGGTCAGGAACAAGGGCACTTCAAGCTCTGACGCTTGCTTTGAGTAACACATTTCAGTTTTCTTCCCATATGCACAGTGTGACTTCAGCCAACCTCACCCTGCCACCCCACGCCTAAAAAATATGTCACCATGACTCAAGAGGTGTTGAGGGTTGTTAAGCTGCAAAGGGACCTTGTGCGAAGACTGAAAAAGTCTGCGGTTATCTCCTCCTATTGAAAGGGACAGCATCGGCTGTCAACACTCCTACCGCTGCCGCATCGGACTTTCCAGCAGGCCTAAGAGCGTAGATTCAAGCAAGGTCCTGAACAGCAGCCAGAAGAGCGCACGCTAGTGACCTGCTCTCAGCCTGGCAGCCTGTCTCAGTTCCTAGGTGAACTCGGGAAAAAGCTGGTTCCTATAAGCTATCGGGTTGGTATTGATGGCAGAGGAAAAAGTGCAGCATCCCTGAGGAAGAGGACAGCTGGCCTTATGGGCAAGGCCAAAACCAAGGCCCTGCTCTGCTCCAAGTTTCCTTTTTGACTTCAGGCAGGTGCTGCATGGCCCTTTTGAACCACCTGTAGTCCCACCATCTTAACCCCCCAGGCAGAGTCCCTGTTCAGGTCAAGAGGACAAACAGATGCTTTGGAAAATCTCACCCGTGAGCTAGGCACTGGATGAGATGTGCCGCCTGAGAAATACCTTCAGTCCTAGGCTGCATGGTCACAAGTTTCTGCGACTCTTGAATCCCACCCTTGCTGCAGGGGGAAAATATCAGCCCACAGAGAACTGTCTCGGGACCTACAAGTGAATTCTGGGCTGCTGGACAAAAATAAGCACTGCCAGGTTGCACACCCAGCCCCAACAGAGACCAGCGACATGGGACATGAAAGCTTGTCACCTCCACACCAGACACAAAGCCACCTGCAGAACATCTGCTCCTCTCAGACACGTAGCCAGTGTCTCCCACCTGCAAGACAATGTGGGTGGGTCGTTAAGGCACCTGGGTTATCAGCCAGAAAGAGAGATTACTTTGGACATCCTTGGGCCAAGGAGGGGTGTGGAACTGAGTCTTTCCTTTGTGGGTCAACACTTTAAGCCCCGAGCAGTGTTACCAGGCGGTGCAACAATTACTGTCTGCGGGGGAGGATGTGATAGTGTAACTAGAACATACATAAGCAATCTGAAATCCGAATTTTTACAGCCTTCTGTGCTGCTGATGGCATGTAATGCTAAGTTTTTCTTTTAAAATAGACTCTGGAACACCAGGTTGTCCTCACCAGGTTGTGTCTCTCCCTTCTACTTGGGTTTCTCAGTACAAACCAGCTTAAACGCACAGTCTATGCTCTGTGCTTGGCTGTTTGTCAAAGATTTAGCTGTGGAAAAAGAAAAAAAAAAAAAGCTAGAGGTGATAAAAAGCTTGACTTTCACAGTAAATTTAGAGCAATCTCTGTGTGCACATTTGTGTGCCCATGCAGGTTCACTGCTTACAGAGCACGAGCTCCAAGGGCCACCTCCTGCACAGGCAGCTCTTGGCATCAGCAGTCCCTGCACAGCACCTTGGGCAGGTTGAGGGGTTTTTCCTCTCATTTGTCTTTCAGAAACAGGAAAGTGGAGAGGAAGGCAAATGTAAAAGGGCATGAAGCAACAACATCAACTGTAAGCTTTGATCTTTTTTCAAATTATTGAAAAAACAAATAGGGCATGGGGAAATTAGCTACACAACCAAGTACAAATACACAGTAATAAGGGCTGTGTGGAAAGATGTGCTTCAGCTTGAGAGCTCACAGGTTCCATGTGCCCCCACCTACATTTCCTTGCTCCTCCATCTCATGGCTGAGATAACAAGGTATGGCATTTGAGTCAGGGCAAGAGCACTTCAGCACCCAGAGCAGCCTGTTCTGCACAATAGTGGGGAGCTAGCTCAAGTTCTGCACCAGGCCCTTCCCTGCCCAGCTGAAGAACCCTCTCCTTCATCAGCATGTAGAAGGAGGGTATCTTCCTCTCTCATTTATCACTATCTAAATCCCCATAAAATAAAAACCTCAAGGTGCAATCAAGGGATTAACGCAGGGGAGGGGTTGGGAAAGACTTAGTTCTGCAAGTTCAGCTTGTTACACCAACTAAGAGCAGCAGGGCTCTGCCAGCCAGTGTCTGATACATTATCAAAATTATACTGTACTCTGAGCAACATGATCTAACTCGATAACTAGATTCAACTAGTTGGGCCTTCAGTGAGCTGGAAGTGGTACCAGAGATGTTCTAAATAATATTCATGATCCTCTGGCTTCTTCTAAGTCAGCTTGAGCTCTGCTACCACTTCTAGCAGTGCCTTTTTATGTCACTTCATTCCACAGGGTTGTTTCACCATTTCAAACACATAAAGGAAAATTATTTTGTCATGGATGTGAGCAGAGTCTTTCTGAAGCACAAGTTCATTGGACAAGTAAGAAGGTTTAACATTGGTCCCAAAGGATGAAGCTCCCACCATTTCAGGCACCTGATGTGTTTTGCACTCATGTTTTGTGTTGTTTCAGCTACAAATGTACCACCACCTCATTCGACTGTGAAACCTGGCTTCCCTATCCCGATGAGCACTGACAACCCTGGTGTTCGCAAGGCAGCTCGCTTTGGGGTTTACAGATACAACAACAGTTCCAATGACCTCTTTCTGTTTAAGGAGTTACAAATAAACAAAGCCATGGTACAGGTAAGAAGAGCCCAGACTTCTGGTGGCCCCCCAAACCATTTACCAACTGACTGTCCCACAGAGCACCCAAGACATGGGACCCCTGTTCCTCCTCAGGACTGCCTAAAGATAAATGGCACATACCTCTCTATCCCGTTCAGCTGCCTTAATTCAACATAAACCACTTCAGTCCATGACACCACACACAATTCACAGACGTAGCACTTGATTTATAGCCAAAACATTAGCATCCCCTTTCACCTGCCCTTACTTTAAAGAAGGAAACTACTTTCTCTAGATTGTCAGAGGGCTGAAATACATGCTCAATGTGGAAATTGGACGCACCATGTGTGAGAAGAGAGAGCACTCCAGCCTGGACAGCTGTCACTTCCAAAAGAAAAAAAAACTGCAACAGGTATGTGTCCAATTTCCTTGGGGTATCCAGTAACTGCAGGTGATTCTTGGCCACCTCGAGCTGTATAGTCACCTTCAGAGTGGCTCCATAGATATCCAGGCCTCTTCTATGCAGAGCCAGCTGTGGTGAGGCAGGGTTATCAGTATAAGCAGCACAGCATCTCTCATGCATCCAGCACCAGTTCCTGTCCATAAGGAGCTGAACCAGACACAAGCGATCTAGCCCACAATCCTGAGTCAAAGTGTGCAGAAATAGAGTAGGTGCTAAACAGAGAGATTTCCTGGGCAGGGGAAATCCTTACACAGGTTTTTCTGCTAAGATATGATTACTTAGCAAACATTGCTTTTCCTGTTATGAAGGCGGCAGACAAAAAGAGGCTGTTCTCTCCTGCCCCATCATGACCCACAAGGGTGAGACCAACCAGTAGCCACCTGAATTTCATCACCAAATCCCCTTTTATTTGCAGATGCTGAGATGCTATTTTGAGGTCTGGATAATGCCTTGGTTACATAAAGCACATGTCCCTGTTGCTGTCTGTCACTGACTCACCTTTCCCGAAGAAAGCCTGACTTACAGAGGATCCACCACGATGAGTTTTTCCTTGCCTGGACTATTGAGGCCAAAACTGAAGTGGGGAATGGCTGTACAGAATCACCACAAAGCTTTTCTCTCAAAGCATATGGTTGCTTTTCTCCCTGAGAAAGATGCTCAAAAGTGACAAAGACCTGCTTTGACTCAATTTATTGCTATCTAGTTGTGCATCTGTTTTTACAAAACTAAACTGCAGATGAGAGCACGTTGTCATTCATTCAGTAGAGAGCCATCCACACTCTGGCTGAAACTCTGTTGGACTTGCTTTACTCTGTGATGCCACTATAACATAAACAAGTGAAAGCACAGCATAGGTGGCTACAATACTGAGGAAAGCTTTACAACAATGGCATAGCCTGCCTGGGGATAAAGGCTCAAGAGTGCTAGAGAAGTTAGACATATCTGTTAGGAATGCATGAGGTAGAGTCGTTCCTTCTTCAAGACGAGGGTATGGATATGGCTGTCTTGAAATATACCCACAGCCCAGAAATGACACAGTCTGACTAGCACTTCTAACTCAATAAGAAGCTAATCTATATTATGAAAGGAGGTCACTGCAAATGCCAAGACAAGTCAACCAAATCATATTCCCAAGTGATATTTTTGCTGATGCTAAGCAATGTATTTTCATACAGGTTAACATATGACATTCAACCTCTGGCCGATCACAGCTTATATCCAGGTTTACTAGAATTATGGTCTTCCCTAGGTGGGCATCTACCATTCCTTCAGCCTTCACTCTTCATATGTGGACAGAGTATTGATTACACCGGACTAAGGATTTTGGGTAACTTCTCCCTTAAAACAGCAATAAAGTTTGGGGCCATGTTCAGTTATATACAGATCAGCACTTATAAATTGATAGGGCCTTCATCTAAGGCATGAAGAACACTTTCTTACTATTAACACTCCTTTTTTTCTGATAGTTGTTGCCTTCCTGCAATAATATTGCAACACCTATTAGCAGTGACAGCCTGATTTTTAGCTTTTATAACAACCATTCAGTCAAGAAAAGCTAGTGAAGGGCTCCAGGCCAAGGTCCAAGGATCTTAAGACAGACGGATCCATGAAGAGCATAGCTGAGGTCTCTGCTCCAAATAATCCCAAAGCAAAGATTTGCACGCTGGGCAAGTCTCAAGTTCTGCTTCGCGAACATCACTTGTGTTGAGCAGGTGGCCCACCTGCAGCTCAAATTCAGCATTCAGTGCTGGAAAGGCAGCTGTGCTGCATCTTATCTTTGGGAACAGCAGTCTCTTAGCTGGAAAAAGAAAACAAAGTGCTCAGAAGAAGCCTCCAGAAGGGTCATGCCTGGATGTAGCATGGTGCTATATTCATCCATCACACAAGACACCACCAACAGCCTGGTTGCCAAAGACAAGGAAAAGGAAAAGATAAAAGAAAAAGACAAAGCAGGAAACCCACGTCACAGCTAAATTTGTTAAGAGGGCAAGAGAAGCCAGGAGGAGCTGCTCTTCCAAACTCAAAGGGGTTAGCAATGGTCTCAACCGCTTTTTCCACTTCAGCTGGGTACTTCACACAATGCCAAGGGCTTCCAGCCAGGCTGCCCGCTCCAGACAGCCTGGACCCGTAACAACAGGCCAGACAGATTGACCTTTCGCCCGTGAGCCAGCAGGACAGCCTGGTGCTCAGGAATAGGTGTCCCCAGCCCTTCCACATGCCACAGTGTGGGTGGGAAGGCAGCACGCAGTGAGCTTAGGTCTGTGCAGAGATTCCTGCGGGCACTAGGCACACCACAGAACAGTGTCCCACAGGTGACCTTTCAAGCTGCTGGCCTGAAGGGCTTCATCTCAGTCTCCTCACTGATTCCCCTTCCATCAAAGAAACAAAGGTTAAAGCCAGGTGAACTTGGCATCATGCAGGCTGGCAAATCCAACATGCTCTTGCTTCTTTCTCAAGGAAAATGAAGCAAGATCACTTGGACCTCTCTACCCAAAGCAGCTTGTTTGGAAGCACGTTTCACAAAACTGTTGCCAGCATTTACTGCAACACAGATGAGCCCACTGCAGCCAAGGCAGCGGGAAAGGAGACAAGTACCTTCTGAGATTAGCCTTACGTTTACAGCTGCAGAAAAGTGTTTGCTCTAACATTACAATAAGAAAGGCACAGTGGAACAGCAGCATCCCTCATCCTCCTCCAGGTAGAGAACAGAGTTATTCCTGAGCACCAAAGAGAGGAGCAGAGCTAAAGCCAACTGAGCTCTTTGTACCACTCCAGAGCGCTACATTCAGGAAGGATTTGGACAATTAAAGAGTCTTGCACCAGGAGCACACCTCTAGCAGTTACCTAAACAACTGCAGCTAAGTACCATTTAATCACAATGGCACACAGCAGTCAGAAAGCCAATGTCTCTACCCTCTGCATCTTTGCTAGATTTTACAACAAGGTTAACTGTTCACCAGTTCACTCCAGGGAGCTTGTACCCTTGAAGAGCTTGCTACAAAGGCAATTAAATAAACAGTCCTAGTAAGGATTTAGGGCATCAAGAGGGAAGGGAAAGGGCATGGGGAATGTCGTTCCTCTCAGACTCAGATGCTGGACAAAAAGGAACGATCCCGGCAGTGACATTAAGAGCTTCTGGGACAACCAAAGCTGGTCCTTCAGAGGTGTGGGTTCATGCAGGAGTGCTACACACAAGCTGAAAGAGCAGCTTCCTTCGCTTCAGATCTCTCGCCGGTACACTGGAAGCACTGCGCTCGGTACATGACATACTTTCTTGGCTCATCTGCTTACAAGGATCTTTAGCCTCATCCGAACAAAAGTTCCCCAGCAGCCCGCCACAGGGAGGCACCAGCTGCACGGTGAGGAGACTTCATGCACACAGATACCCAAACCAAGTGAGCCTGACTTTGACCAGAGCTTCACCGTGGTAGGAGATCCTCAGACAGAGGATAATTTATATATTTATATATTTGCATAGCAAAGCTTTTTGCATAGCATCGCCTTTGCATAGCAAACCTTTTCACCCAAAAGCTTTGCTATGCAAATATTTCCTCTCACACTCCCACTTTTTAAATTCCATAGGAAACAAACTGCCTGCCACCAAAATATAAAACGCTGCTGACTGACAGACTTTCCGCTTCGCATTATCTTCGCATCAACAGCTCTGCATTAAGGACCTGGAAGGCCTTTCTTTCTAGACCAATTGCACCCAATTTCACAACTTGACTGACTTCCAAGACCCACTCACAGCTGGAGAAGGCATGCATGCAGCCACACAGAACCAAGACAAGGTTTAACTGGCAGCAGCTAGATAAGGAGGCATGATTTCTGCTGGCTGGGAGGGAAAAAAAAGGTATATAGATAACTACAATCACTTACTGCTACATTTTCTGTCCCTACTTCAAACAAAGCAGCAAAAATGAGCTGCTCCCTGTACTTACACTTTTACAGCAGTCTGTTTTCTAAGTAAGCTAGATGGGAAGGTCCCAAGTGTCAGCATCATCAGATCTCTGTTGTGATCACTGAACAGACAGATCCAGAAGCTTAGGAGGTCATTATCTCATCTGCAAAGGTTACTGCCACAAGGCAGACTCGGGTTTAAAGGAATTGGATTTACATCAAGGCTTTGCAATCACTTTCATCAGCTGTTTACACCAAGATACAAACCTCTACACAAAAGCATCAGGGGCATATGAGTTATCTTCCAGCAGCTCTACTATAAGAGAAGTTTGCTCCAGAGAAGAGGACAGAGCAGTGAGCTGTGAAACAGCATTTTCAATAGCTCCAGCAAGATCTTCTTGATACTTGCGCCCTGCAGAAACATCCACCAACAAGGCAAAACAAAATCTATCTTCAAAATGCACAGCTGTAGTATATTCCAGCTCAGTTCCTTTTCCTTAGGCTGTTCTACCGCAGGGCTTTGCAATAAAGCAAAGATTTCCCCAAGCCCTTCAGGGACAGAACACTGTTCTACATGCCATAGCAGTTCCCAAAAAGCTTCAGTAAGACACAGGAAACACCTTTAGGCTCCTCTGGGAGTTGTGCAGAGAGGGCTTCCTCCCTTTTTAGGGGGCCACAGCCCCTTTCTCCTGTCACATAAAAAAAAAAACAAACCCAACCATCTTGCCCTGACAAGATCCTAGGATACTGCTGTAAATGCTCCTGCTTCTTCCAGTGGTGGGATGACGTATCAACGCTAGAGAAGAGCGAGCCTTAGAGCTGCAGAGGTGTCATGTTCCTGCACTGATACCATCAAGAGAGAAGACAGAGCTCTTTAACCGGTTCTGACTTGTTCCAGCTTTCCGTATTGCTCAAGGCAGACGTGTCACCATCTGCCTGAAACTAACGTGCCACTGACTCCCACTTGTGCGGAAGTGGAACAAGCCCATAAAAACTGTCTTCACAGGAGCACCAACAGGAGGTTATGCCGATTTGTTTGTTCCACAATCGTTTTAATTCTGCTGCATTACTCTCAGAGGACTGCATTTGAGGAACCATTAGGGATTAAAAACACCTGAGATTCTATGAAAATACTGTTCTTAAGCAACCCTTATGTTGAGCAACAAAAGAGCTGTGTGTCAGTCAACCTGTTTCGTTTGGTTCTACAGCAGACTACCCAACTTCTGCATACAACGGGTGGGCTATCAGGATCCAGCAGAGCACCAGGAATGGGAACCAAGATCATCTGAGCCTATTTAAGGCACTCCTTTCAGCCTCTGCAGACCTTGAATCTCCTTGGACTGGAGGTATGCAGACCCTGCATTCAGATCCAAGGCATAAAATCTTTAAGCTGCACCACTACACCTCTACCAGGTACTGCAGTTCCACACTGGTCACCCACCAATGTTGCAGCCATCATGACAGTAATTGGCCTCCTTTCAAATTTTAGTGGTCCTGGAGGCACTGGCAGTCTTGGGCCAGACATCCCTCTCACCAGGACTTTCTCCTAGACCTTGCTGCCTCACATTCCGCCATCTCACTCTGCTTCAGGTT